TTAACTAGATCATAACCCGCCGGACTGAACGATTATTTGTTTTTATAGTATATATAAACATTTTAAAAACTACAATTTAATGGTTCTAATTTTACTAAGTAATAGTCTATTGTTTAAACATAGAATTTCATCACTGTATTGTATAACATGGTGTCAGTAAAAAGTTATGACCTGTAAATATTTTAGTAATAGTTTATAAAGTTTTTTTTTGACTAAATTTGGTGCAAAATTATATACTCTAAATAATTTAGTCAAATTTTTAAGTTAATTTTTAATGAAGAATTGTCATAGTATATATGAAAAATTTGGTGCTAGTATATCACCGTTAAAAACTTATAACAATAGTCAATATAAATTATATAAATAAAATATATATTATTCTTGATTTATTTTAAATATATTTAAAATACGAGTACATATATAGATAAATAATTTTCAGAAATAAAGTAATATCAATGATAGAAAACCCCAAAACAATAATAATGGTACTTTGGATCGTAGTAATCTTTAGTTTAATAAATAAAGCCATTAAGTTTGTATGTTTTCCATGTTTCCCATCAAATTTTTAAAATTTCTTATTCATATTTCAAAACACTTCATTTTGGTACTTCAGCTTTAATAGCATAGACTAGATCTTGACCTGCACAACCGTGCAGGATATTATTTTTATTTTTACAGACATAATTATTTTTTACATGAATAATTATAATATTTATCATATTATTAATTTTTAATCTATATTATTAAAACAGAACAATTTTATTGTTCACATGCAATAATTTGTTTTTAAAATTTCAGTGATAACATATTTAAATCATGTGATACAAAATTCTAAATTAAAAATATTATTGGTTAAAACTCAAAAATTTAATTGAAAATTATTATATTAAATTAGTATCACAAATTTAATACATAAATTTATATGATTTTATTTATAATTACAAAATTAATATGATATTTAAAAATTTTATTCTAGTTAAAGTGAAATATAGGTTTAATTTTAAATTAATCACAAATTAACTAAATATTTTTAAGAAACTAAGTAAAAATGAAATATACATTTATTTTAAATAAATACGAAATTAATTAAATATGTAATAGGTTTATTTTAATGAAAATGAAATATATATATTTACATTGTAAATAAAAAGATATGAAAAGATTTTATTCAGATATAGTTTTAGAGAAACTATAGGAATATCTATTTGATTTTTTTTTTCTAGAATAATTTAAATAATTCATATGTTTATACATAATATAATTTAAATAATTTTTAAAAGCTAGTCCAAACTAAAAGCTCACATATTAACTAAGTCATGACTTCTGTTTTAATAGTATAGACTAGATTTTGATCCGCGCTTTCAAAGCGCGGATTTATGTTTGATACAAATTTTATATAATCACATTTCCTATACATGTAGAAATGTTGGATAAACTTATTTGGTTCTTTAATTTCATCGAACATAGTCTTTTTAAAAATGCATGATAATCTTTCGGTGAAAATTTTATATGACCGTATTTTGTTTTATATAAAGTAGACATGTGCATAAAATCCATAACTCGACGTCTAAACTCAATCTAAACAAAAAAAGATTGGATCCGTAACCGGTCAAAAATCTAAAATATATCAGAATGAGTTTTGTAGGGTGATGCAAAATATATCTAAATCAAGGTGTTATTAGCGAGACCTGAACGAATAACCCGAAACCAAAAAATCTGGAAAAAAAATCTGAATCGATCCGAATGTCCAAATTAATCATAAATATAAATATTTGAAACATAAATATCTAGTTTAAATATTCAGTTCTATATTTATTTTAAAATTATATTTAAAATTAATTATCTAAATTTTAACTGAGTACTTTAATATCTAGTTTAAATATTCAGTTCTATATTTATTTTAAAATTATCTAAATCTAAAACCGATAAAGTATATTTTGTTTGTTTTGGTTTTAGATTTTAGATTGACAAACCAATATAACCCGAATCGGAACGATATATGGTTACTTTATCGGTTTTAGGATGTGTACAAATTAGAACCAAACCCAACGTGTTATATTTGAATCTGATACATACTTACAACATGCATACTTACATATTATGACAGCTATGATGTGATATAAATTAGATTTGATTCAAAATATTTGACCTGTATCCCAATAGGTACTTGAACTCCATAGCATAACTTATATTATGTTTTATATTTTGTTAAATTAATTTTTATATTTGATAAATATTTTGTATGTTTATTGGAATAACCCATAAAATTATAATCATAAAAATACCAGTAATAACATGTTTCATCATATAATTAAATATTAATAGTAGCTATTATTAATATTTATTTTTTAAAAATTATATATATATAAACGATTTTAAGACTTTATCTATGATAATTATATTATTATGTATTGGTGGAGGTTTGAAAAAAATTCTTCTTATTATTTTGTGTATCAGTTACATATAATTAAATGTTAATTTTTTATATCATAATGTTTTAATTTAGATATGTATATTAAAATATAAAATTACTTCATTTTTTAAATATTTTATGGTAGTATTTTGTTATTTTATAAATGTAATTCATCTAGTTTATAATTTATAAAGTTGATTAATTTATATTATAATTATTATTTTGTGTAATTTTTAGTTACAAATATGAAATATTTATATATAAATGTTATAGAAAGTTAGTTCTTATTCTATAAATCAAAATGAGTTAATACTCATTTATAGTTTAATTTAATATTATTTACGTTTTTATTATTAAAATAATATGTAAAAATAAATATTATTTTTAAAATAAAAATATATAAAAGATATTGTTAAAATGTAATCTGAAAAAAAAATAGTTAAGAGTATTTTTTGATATCTTATTTTGAATATATTTAAATATTATATTAATATTATGTTGTTATTTAATAATAAATAAGTTTGTTATATGTAACATAACATAAAATTAAATAAATATAATTTATTGAGATAGATTGCTTGTAAATATATAAAAAGTGCTTATGTTTTAATAATATTGATGTATCTTCTTTTAGAAGAAAAAGATAACTTCCTTAATTACTCCATAATGATTAAGTTTGGTAGATATGTTATCGTTGGAGATTGGTGGATCTACACGTCGCCCATCATTCCTGTATATTTGTATACATGTGTTATTTGAATAACACGCTTCGTGTTAAATATTACCTCCATTTAAAATGCACGATATTTATAAAATATAATAATTTTAATTCTATAAATTTAAATGTTATTATAATATTTTAAAATTAGTATTTCCTTATTAAAATTTATACGATTTACCGTATTTGGTGAATTATTTTCAGTTTATATTTTTTGATGATACTTTTAAAAAAGTTATCTTAAGTTTGTATTTTTATCCAAAGCATTATATATACATTTTAAAATAGAGGAAGTATCATATAATTATCAAATCTAAAGAGAAACATAATATTTTTTTTTCAGCTTTTCTTTCTAGTTTCTATCATTATACCGTTTTGTTAGTAGTCCATTGGTGAAGATGGTGTTATCACCTGAGAAATGATCAATTTTTACTACACATTTGGAGAAATTTTGATATAGTAAGACTTTTTTTTTAGTTTCAAAATTTGACATATTTCGAGAGTACATAATCAAATAACGGACAAGCTTACACGTGGTGTTCGGTATTCTCACTCTGTTATGTTTTATGTCAATTCTATAGCTTCGAATAAGTTCTCTAATCCGGTAGTGCGGATATCTTAGTTTACTCTTATGATGTTGAAAAAAAAATCATTATACCGTTTTGCTTATTATGAAAAAATAGCCATGGGATTGTCTTTATATATATCTGGTAAGAAAGCGATGGTTTATCGTACCTGAACTGAAGTGAGAGAAACTTATATCTTACCATTTCTTCTCTCTCACTTAATCATCCAGCAGAATATATTGAATTTCACATGTTCTTCAGTTTCTCTTCTCGCATGGTAAGCTGATCTGTTTTCTTATAGATTCTCCATTTTTTAAAAGAATTATTATTTTTTGAACACCTTAAAACAAATATTTTATATTAGTAAAAACGAACATCCCGTAGATAGGCACCGGAACAGTTACAATGGTCCGCATGCAGAGCCGTGCGAAAGTTTTTACTGCCCCAAACAAAATAAAAAAGTTAAATATTTATAATAAATTAAATACAAATTAAAAGAAAGTTAATGAATACTTTGCGGCTTAAGCTGTTTAGAGAAATACAAAATTTATAAAAACTTATGTAATATAAACTTTGAAGAAAGTAAGGAATGGAATAAAAATTAACTATCATATAATAAATTGGTGAAAATATAATTCAAAACAATGAAAGTTAAATATAAACAAGTATTTGAATATATACAGAGAAAAAAAAATTGAATTTTGTAAGAAGAAACATTGATTTACGTAGACCATATAAAAATGTATATACACAAACTTGCTTCTATTTTTTATTTGAAATCAAAATGATATTCTAACTAGTTACAATTTTTTTTTGATACTCTAAACCATTGCTTATTTTTTAACCAAGTAGACACGGCTCTGTCCGCATTGATTAAAAGTAAGCTATAAAAAATTTGACAAAAAAAAAAGAGGCAAAGCAAAAGCCCGTAAAATATCAAAATTCATTAAAAGTAAACCTAAAAATAAGAAATTTACATTTCTTAATATACGTGAAAAGCAAAAAAAAAATCCTAATTCTCAAATCTCTCTGTGTTTCTTTTTTTTTTAAAAGATCCCTCTCTATTTCCAATCATCAGAAAATAAATTTGTTAGTTTTGATACGAAAATTGGAACAGATTGGCGTTTTAGTATTTATTTCGTGAACAAAAAGATGTATTAACTGACATTACATCTTAACTTTGCTTGCAAAATTTCCATCTTCGATCTTTTCTTCCTTTAAATATTATAAAAGATGAAATAAATAAATAAACTTTTCCTTTAAAAATATTAAAATAAAAGACTTTTCCCTTTTCTAAACAAAAAAAGGCCGCTTGAAGTTTCAAATTAAATGATGAATGTGTCTGTCTAAATTCAAAAGCCGTCGGATTTTATCTCAATTCTCAGATGATGAAAGTTTCAGACTCGTCTTCCCCGACCGGAGTTCTCGAAGAGTTCTTCAGAACCGAAGAATTCGAAAGCTCCCAGACTACAACAACCAAGTACCCTTCCTCCCGTTTCCGCAGGGTTGTTCATCTTCTAAGAAGCACGTCCAAAAAATCGCTAGAGAATCTGAAAGCCCCGTTTCAGTACAACAATGCCGTTACAAGCTCTTTGAGAAGATGCAGTAGCTTGAGAGAAAGTCTCAGATTTGGTTCCTCCAGTGATTCTCACGTTCTTGCACACTCTCCTCGAAGAATCTTTTCTTTTTCTGATCTCAAAATTGCCACCAACAATTTCGCTCCGGGTATTTCCTACAATGTTATGATTGTTGTTTAAAAAAAAAATTAGGATTTCAAATTATGATTATTCTTAGTCTAATCATGAAGTCGTGACTAAAATAAGTATTTTTTTAAAAAAAAAAAATTGGGCAGAGAATCTAATTGGAAAAGGAGGTTACGCTGAAGTTTACAAGGGGAAGTTTTCAAATGGACAAATGGTAGCCATAAAACGGCTCATGCGTGGAAACAGCGACGAGATCGTTGTAGATTTTCTATCAGAGATGGGCATAATGGCACATGTTAACCATCCAAACATCGCAAAGCTTTTAGGCTACGGTGTTGAAGGAGGAATGCACCTTGTTCTTGAGTTGTCACCTCATGGGAGCTTAGCTTCTATGCTTTATAGTAAACTCTCTTCCTCCATCACTACCCTGGCATGCCTTTTATCATTACTATATTCAAGAAAAATAATAATTAATTGTTTGATGATGTGATAGGCTCAAAGGAGAAGATGAAATGGAGCATCCGGTACAAAATAGCTTTGGGAGTTGCAGAGGGTCTGGTGTATCTTCACAGAGGATGTCACAGGAGAATTATTCACAGAGATATCAAAGCCGCAAACATTCTTCTCACACATGATTTTTCGCCTCAGGTACCATAGATACTTACTTATGATATTTATATTTTCAGTTCTGTGATGAAAATGTCTTTGTGTGTTAGATATGCGACTTTGGGCTTGCGAAGTGGCTACCTGAACATTGGACACACCATATAGTTTCCAAATTTGAGGGCACGTTTGGGTGAGTCTATGCATTAAGCATATGCTTCCTTGTATAATTGTTCAGAGATGGATTTATCCTCATTTCTTTCAGATATCTTGCTCCTGAGTACTTAACACATGGGATAGTGGATGAAAAGACCGATGTATTCGCCTTGGGTGTACTTTTACTAGAACTTGTTACTGGACGACGAGCTCTTGACTACTCCAAGCAAAGTCTTGTTCTATGGGTTAGTCCCAGCTAGAGAGCCAATTTAATTTTGAGGGTTGAAATTCGACATCTGTTCTTAGTTCATTGGTGTTTGTTTCTCAGGCTAAACCATTGATGAAGAAGAACAAAATTAAGGAGCTAATTGATCCATCTTTAGCGGGTGAATATGAATGGAGGCAGATTAAACTTGTGCTTTTGGCTGCTTCGTTATCAATTCAACAGTCATCAATAGAGAGGCCTGGGATGAGTCAGGTACATAACCAAACTGTCTTGTATAACAAGTAAATAAATCACCTTGTTTTGATATATTGTCTTAAACTTAGGTCGCTGAGATCCTCAAAGGCAACTTGAACGACCTCAAGTGCATCATGAAATGCAGAGTCCCCTTTTATCGTAAAGCTTTTAGAGATGAGAACATGTCAAGAAATATTCAGAAAAGTTGATCTTGAAGAAAGAAAATGGAGGCATGAAACACAACAAAGGGAAAAGAAAAGAAAGAGATAGAGATGGCTTGCATCATTTTCTGAATAAAAAGGCGTTACGCATCACTTGTCAAGAAGATATTAGTGGAATAGTGAATATTCTTAGTACATTTTCTTTATTTATTCAATGTATTAGTAAGCAACAAAGGCATAGCTTCAGTGAAGTTATGTAATGTCTAATATACCAAAGTAAAATATTTACAGAGGAAAAAAAACGGAGTATGTACCTAAGAAAGAGAGCTTTACGGTTTGACATACTTTAGGTTCTCAACATAACACTTGAGTTACTTTATTCATGAGGTGAACTTTGGACTTTTAGTGTGTATTTTTAGGTCGAAATTACCTCTGAAGATAAGTGGACTTGTGACAAAAGTGATTATGTGAGGGTCAAACTGACTTGTGATCAGGAGACACATGTACAGGATTAGTTTTGGGGTTAGGTGATGTGTGGTCGCAAAGCGCTCAGCATCATACTGGCTGACTATTAGAGAGCCAGAGGAATGGCTAGATGTGTGGATGGAGTCAGCATCATGTTGTCTCTGACTACACGATTCCTATATAAAAAGTTGTAGGCTGAGTTTAGAAGACAAACAAACGTAAAGTGAGATGACATGTTTTTAAGTAGTTTATCTCATGTAGAAGTTCCGGCAAAACAACACAAACAGTTCGTCTGAACAAAAAGATAACAGTTGTCAGTTAATTTGTTTGCCCTCGGCTTCCAGTTCGAATCACTATAATTAAAGTGTGAGCCTTGGATTGGGTGTCGACAGCAACTAATTACAGTATCGACAGAGAAGCGAGTAACAGAGAAAATCGTCAATGAAGTTAACTAGAGTGACTAGTTAGGGTTTCAATGTGAAATAGAAATAGGGATGTCGGGTATGAAGAGGGATAAAGAGTTTGTGCCTCTTTAGTTAGAGCACTAGGTGATAATCTGCGCCTTGTTAGTGGATAAAAAAAATAATAACGTAATATATATGTAATGAAAATGTGTTACTATTATGTCCAGATTTATATAATGTAAACCTACATTTTTTTATGAAAATGTCGTGTTATTGGATAGACATGCTTGAAGTATATTATATGGAATAAAAGGAAGACTGTTAATCAAATAAGTTTACCGATGGATTGTCATTTTCCCTTTATTAAGGCTGTTTTGATGGATTGTCATTTCTCTTTATCTTTAGTTTGCTAAAATTGTATCATTCAAATCGTTGAAGAAAAATAAAACATGATATATTAAGTAAATTAACACTTGTTTTATTATTAAATATTATTAAATAAATAGTAAAATGGTATCATCATAAATTTAATTACACTAAATTTATGATGATAATAATTAAAAGAACATGAATAATAAAAAAATAAAACATGATAAAATGAAAAATGTCTGATAACATATAATTATACTAAATTTATGATGATAATTAAAAGAACATGAATAATAGAAAAATAAAGAGAGTTAACGGCCACCCTGAATTATAGCAAATAAAATATATTGACAGATTTTTTGAGAATAAGTTTTGGTCAAACAATTCAATTACTTGCTTATTTGTTTGCGCAAATATATTTACTTGATTTGCAAGGTCTGCGTGATGTGCGTGTGTTAAGTGAGAATCTTAAAAGAAGATTGTCTTCACAGTAAATAAGGAACCAAATTGCTCAGGTACCGTAAGAAAGACTTACCATAAGTTTGAAAACTGATTTCATATGGAATTCTTAAAAGATTGATTCATTTTAGTTACCTTTTTATAATCAATCAAACATAATGCACTATAAATGGTTTGATATGAGATTCCTAAAATAAAATATTTAGACATATTACATGATCATTGACAATTAAAAAGAACTTACTATATTTATAATCCCGTTTGAACAAATATAGAGTTTTCTGCACAAGTCATATATTTTACATTAAAAAAGAATCAATTGAAATGTATTCCTTATATGTAAAACAATAAAAGCCTAGTATTAATTTCGCCTGGTTTATTTCCGATCTTGGCTTCATATTGAGCAGGAATAGTGGTTATGAAATAAATATTAGAACTATGGTTAATAGTATGATAATACTCGAATATTTGTATTTCATATTTGTATTTCATGTGAATACACGATAGTCCGAATACATAATGAGACTGAAATGCAGGAATTTGCTGTAAATAAACAATTAGACCAATATAAAACAAATCCCCTATGAGGAGAACAAAATTTTCATCCGCCATAAGTCCGCGAACATATTATTGGAACATAAAATTTGTAAGATTATGCGTATTCGAACAAAGCAATGTTGTGCACTGAAGTTAAATGATAAAATATGATATACGTACAAATTCATTTTGTGTCAGTTAGGTGTCCATATAAATGGAAATGCGTATTGTTCGAAAAATATATTAGCGGACCGAGCTGTGTGACATTTACTAACCACGAGAGTAAAGTATGTTATAATGGCAATCCTTTGTAATTATTCTAGTAATGAGAGACATTTTTTATAAACCTTCTAAAAAGCGATGTGGTGCTGCCACGTAAGTAATGTCATTTTCGTTAATCACACATCATTGCAAGGTTTCTTTTTAAAAATGTTTCTCTTTTAATACTTAAGGGATTTCAAATACCACTTCAAATTTTACTGTAAAATAGAGGGGAAAAGTAATTAAAGTAATTACTCCATTTTGTCCTTTTTACACTATCTCTAATGGCACACCATTTTTTTCTCTATAATTTACACTAAAGTAAAGTAATTCTATTATAGTGTAAATTTTGCTCCAATGGTTTACTCTATAATTCTATAATAGAGTTACTCTATTATAGAACGCAATATAGAGTAATACCATTATTTCACTCCAAATATTGAGTGAAAAGTAACATTCCTCTATATTTCACTTTATAATAAAGTTACTTTAATTTAATGTAAATTGTAGAGAAAAAAATGTTATTAGAGATGCCCTTAGACCATCTCCAACGATACTTCATTTTTCACTTTTTATTTCATTTGAAGCAAATTTTTGTTCAAATGATGCTTCATTTCTTGCTTCAAAATGAAGCAATGAACATTACTGCTTCAAATTTGAAACAATACTGTTCATTGCTTTATATTTGAAGCATACCTTTTTAAATTATAAATTAGTCTTTAATTTTTGCTTGTTCTTACTTTTGGAGAAAATAAATTATATTAATCAATTTAATCTCATTAATTTTTCTAATATACATTTATTATATAAATTTATTTAATTTATGATATTAAATACTTTTAAAACATATATTAAATGAAAGATAACGTTAAATAATTAATATAAAAGTGAAATACATGATTTATAAACCAAACTAAGCATAAAATACTTAACACAACACAAGTAACACTTAATTATCTGGTAAATCACTTCCTGAACCATTAAGATTATTAAAAAACTGTCCAAATAAAGTTGATGTTTGAAGAGGTTGCTGAGGTTATTGAGCTTGTTATTCGTCACCCCTTTCCAATAAAATCCGATTTTTTTTCAGATTTTATGTATGCACAAATATTATGTTGTATGGAGTTTACATCACAAAATAATTTTTTGTTTCTCTTTTAAAATTTTTTCAAAGTATAATTTCTACTTTGAATCTTCAAATGTTATTTATTGTTTACATGATTCTCACACATTTAAATTTACTACATGATTTGATAATGCAATGCAAAGTTGTTCAAAGATTCTCAAAATTTCAAATCCAATACGATAAGATTTGATAATATAATGGAAAAGCTATTCAAAGATTCTCCCATTTTTCAATCTACTATAAAGTGATTTGATAATACAATGAAAAGTTAATTTAAAGAGTCTCATATTTTTTTCAGATGAGCGTGCATCAGAACTGTTCAGAAAACATTAAATGACGGAACAATATTGTTTCCAAACTTTAATGTTTCACTACAAGACCCCAATTTCTTGAAGACACTCAAGGTTCAGCTTCAGCTACTTGGAGCACCAATGCAAGAAAAGAGTGTGATAGCAACACTACATCGTTAGATCGTCTACCGAATTCAAGATCACGCTCTTGACCTCGTTCTACCCTCCGCTGATGAAGCACTCTACCTTGAAATCACATCAGCATCCCAAGCGAATAAAGAAAAAGGAAAGGACATTGGAATAATCTAGTTTTCAATGACCGCTTACTCATCACTCTTGGAAAAGACCACGAGATATCTGATCAATCGTCAAAAATCAATGCAAATTTACAGTATTCGTCTGCAAAATCTATTGCCAAAATTGAACATCTCTCAGATTCAACTTCAAGCGACTATGATATCGACTCCTACGAAGAATCTCTGCCAAGACAATTCGCGATTGGGGAAAGTTCGCACACTCCGAAGAAAGAACCAAGTATCAACGAAGTTTACTCAAGCGATGAAAATATGGAATTCATACCGCCATCTAGGACAGAAATACTGACAACAAGCACTTTTCCTTAAAAGTCATAGTATTCACTTTCAATGATATTCCTTTTGATAAATGGAATAACCGTCTAGACGAATTTATGCATGGAAGAACTCAGAAGCCCTTAGGTCACCTCTACACTTGGTAATACAACAATTCACTGCCCTTCTATCTGGAGCACTCAAGGAATGGTGGAATTCACTCGGTGAATACAGACATCAACAAGTCTATCAGATAACAATACTGTTGCTTCTTGGAGAGATTCACAGAGAATTCATTGGCACGCCAACACACCAAAAGGAACAGCTACAAGAGAAGTTCTTCTCAGAAAAATGTTGTTCGTTAAGAAAGAAAGATCTCACAAAACATTTCAAAAGGCAGACAAAAAGATACTACGCTCTTAACGGCCTCAACAATCCTAGCCTGAAGCATGTCTATCTCTCCTTCATTGATGACTATCTTAGTCAACAGACTAAATTATACATCAGAGATCAAGGATAAACTATTGAAGAAGTATCTATCGGCCAGATCCAGCAATACGTCTTCAGAACACTCGGTAAACTCTGCAAGCAAAACGAATTCCGGATGGAATTCATGGATAGATCAAAAAAACTATCCAAAATCTGTGTCAGACCTGATCTATCAATCAAATGTTCAAAATCCAAGAAGACTTGTTCTTGTGATTCACATGAGAAACGTCAGAAATTCAAAAAACGATTCACTAAGCACTCCTCCAAGTTCAGGCGCAAGAAATTCTTTCGGAAGAAACAAAGTTTCAAGAAGGCGTCGAGATGTTTCCTGTGTCGAAAAGAAGGACATTTTGCAAAATATTGCCCAAA